TGAGTTAATTTATTAAATTTCAAATAATTGGCATACAAAATAATAGTAAGGGCCCAAAACTTGTTCAAACTTTAGTGTTTATTGTGTACTTAACGAGTGAATGGGTCTTGTGTATTCTGGTAATCCTGAAAGATATGCAAGCAAAGAAAAGACCCATTTCATTACAACTTAAGAGTTCTCTGGCTAGAAGAAAGAAACAGTTAGAAAAACACACTTAAGTAGGGATTGGATTGTACACGACTACTAAATATTGTATTTCCATACTGGAACTATTATAGCATTGTACGGTATAGTTCACTTTGTGGGTCAACTGTTGATAACTGATGTGCAAAAACAGTATCGACAAATACTTTACTGTACATAAAACTACAATTCTATCAATCTAAATGGTACCTATCATGATGACAGGAATACAAGAAGGGAAAATAAATTTTTTAAAAAGAACATTAAAATCTAGTCAAATTTTGTCAGATATTCGCACTTTTCTCACAATGAAAATTTCTTTTTGTATGTTGCTTCTTTAACAAGAAAAATGTATGCTTAATTTCTAAAATTTTTATATTTTTTACCCAGTCCACAATGCTTTCAAAAATTTCTTCATTAATTTTAAATTTTAGTTTCTAACTGGTATTATGGTATTGTCAACTAGTACTGAGGGGGCGGTCATCATCATTGCTTTTTCTTCGTATGTCCACTTATTGAACAAACAAATCTGGCATTTGAAATGACCACAAGTAGTTTTGAACTTGATGCTTCATGAATACAGTATTGCTGCCAGACTACATGGCACATAATAAATCATGGCCCTCAAAATCATCTCATTAATTACAGTACAGTATTTTCAACATATTTTCCTCATTATTTTAAATATTATTTTAATAATTGATTAAATAAGGTTAGACTTAAGGGTAACAATAAACACAAACTGTATAGCCTAATCATGATTTTTAATGCATTTTACATTACTACCTACTGTACCGTATTTCCACTCGTACTGTGGAAAAAATGTGGGCTTATACCGGAGGAAATATGGTATGTAGTTAAACAAATTTCATATTAATTATATAAACAAAATTATGAAAAATATAATTAAGAATTCCTAAAATTTACATTCTCATATCAAATAAATATGAAAACTTAAACACATTAAAAAAAATAATTTTTTATATTCAATCACATCCTGTGAGTGATTAGGGAATTTTGATCACTGTGAAACAGTGCGCACACTTTGAGTCATTTGATTTGGGAGTATTGAACAGTAGCAAAATAAATTTTACTGTTATAGATAATAATTGTGGATATAGATAGGATATCTGCTGATAACTTTTTTGAACTTGGATAGTGAATCGGGGACAAGAGGGCAACTGTAGAAAAGTTCAGATATTCTAGAACAACCTGGAAGAAAAGTTCATTTCGATTCAAGGCTTTAGTCTTTTATATAATGATTTGCCATCATAAAAAGCGATAATATGCTGTATTAATGCTATAACACAATGAACAAACATAGGCTGGTTATATTGTCAGTTTTAACCAAATCCAATAAATTATTTATTAAATAATCAACAACAAAAAATACTGTACACCATTTCTCAAAGGGCTTCCCTGGTGATCGGGGAATTTAGTGTTAGCACAAACTGCACATGTGCAAACATCTTTGCTAATTAGAGGCATACCCAATTTCACATGTTTCCCTGTTATTGATTAAAAAATATTCACAAAGGATAAAGCAATAGTTCTCTGCAGTTGTGATAACAACAATATTAACAGGGCCGGGCAATTATATTTTACAAATGAATTACCACATCAGTCTTCAGTCTTTGAAATGGAATGACTGTAATTCTATGAACTCATCTGAAAAGAGAATTAGGAGGAATAATGCAAAAAAAAACAAAAAAAAAAAACTTGGGTGACATAAGCATCATTACACCTGTTTTTTTTTCAACATGGCACCTGGTACTTCCTTCTCAAAATGCTTCACCAATGTACAAGGTCTGAAACCACCAACAACACATACCAGTCACTGGTCCCAAAGGCTTATATTTGAAACACTGCTAGTGTACAAGTTGCCTCTGGATACATATTTATCTGTAGCGAGGTAACAATACCTTTCAGAACCTAAGTACTATTGATATTATATGAGGCGGTGTCAGGTTGGGCCACCTAAAATTTAACGTTGATGATAATAAAGACCGACAATGATGATAATAAAGACCAACAATGAAACCATTTTTACACACTTTCCCACAAAAAATTAATCGCAGTTTACATTACAATTAGAATTAAAATCTCATTTCCAAAAAAGGGTTTTTCAATGTGTGTACATTTGTGGTAATTATCAAGAGAAAAAATAAACTCACTGGCAAGTTCATTCGAAGAGGCACTTATAAACCAGTCCACAGCACACAAGGAGTTTACTGTGTGGTTATAATCTTTGCAATTTGTTTGAAATTGCAGTCTGCTAAAGTATTTTGTAGTTAGCTAAGAGCTGTAACAGGAGCCAGAAATGTTGCCAGAGCACTCAACATGACAACTTATAATTCCCTTCTTCCCTTATCCAGGACTCCTTTTTAATTTCCCCCTTGTCTTGTTTATCACTTCTAGCTAAAATCTAAATTTAGCATTAATTCAACTTGGAGCCCAAAGTGCTTAATCATATCCTAATATCGTATCATTTTTAGAATATGTTTATATAAATATATTTTCTTGACAAATTATCATGGAGCAAGGAAGCAACCTAGAAAGTATAGGTTCAACAACCTTCACCATTTCCTCAAAATCTACTTATAATATCTTTTATTAATATGTTTGTCACCAAATCAAAGGCACTCTAATGTTTAAAGAGGATTTATTTTATTGTTTTTATTCTGCCTCAAGAAAAAAATGTTGTTTTTAAAACAAACTAAGTGAACATAAGATATGGAACAAAAAGACAAAATTTATATATTCTATGTACTGTATTACTTATAAATAATATTATTATTATGTAGGCCTATTACATTAATTACTTATAACTTTTTTTGTTGCTAATTTACTGTAGGTCTACCAATCAATGACAATTCTTGAATGTTTGGTTCAACAACCCATCTTCTTTAGCAAATTTAATTTCCTCACTGCAATCTCACGCTGTGTTTTTAGGAGTCGATTTTCCCCCCACGGCCAAAGATAGGATAATATCTGCTAATACAAGTCGCTCAACTTTGCGAGGACAGATTGAAATCAAAACTGTTTAAAACCACACAATTGCCACATAAAAGATTTAAGCATCTTGAAAAACAGATAGGGGTAAGAACCATTGATGCAGATCCTACGATACAAAATTTACAAAAAGGCAGATTCAGTCCTTTAGACAGAAGCTTATAGCAACTGTTTTTCTCCTTTTGATGTGAATAATACTAGGCGACAGTTAGGCTGGTAATAACTGTTTTAATAGGTTGAAGGTGAATCTGGCACAGGTCGTCTACCTCGTTCTGCTTAGCTACACTGGCTTTAACTCAGATACTCAAACCTCATCATATGCTCAGTTAACCAACCTTAACTAACCCTCACTGACAACTCATTCTTGGCTATAATTTTGTACAACACACATTTCGCTACACCAAACACCAACTTACCCTCAACTAAAGAAAACTAATCCATTATCAGCTACTATACTAAGCTTAAATTTATGGCACCAAACCCACACTTGTAATTCACCAAACCCTACTCTCTTTATACTAATTCAAAGATTTATAATTTATAAAAAAAAAAGCTAAACTATTCTGGGTTACCGTAGTGAAAATATGCAGACTGTAGGGATACCACCCTCAATTAAACCAATCTCCCCTTACACTGAGCTTCTCCAAACTAAACTCATCCTTAACATTTAGAATGCATATGTTAATGACAACAAACAGTACAGTAGGCCTACAGTACCAGAGACCTCATGCTGACCCATATGAAATATACCACCCTCATTTTCACCTGTAGTGTTCTGAAGTTTAAATTTTTTAGTATTTTAAAGAGGAATCCACTTTTGTCTCAAAAGTACTATATACTGTACCAAATTCATCTCATCAAACTTTACCTTTGTGATCCAACCAACATCAGCTAACACCAATCTCAATAACTCATCTATAATTACCAGAGAATTATTAACCACACACATGCCACAAAAAATAACCAGGCTAACAAATTCTCTGAAAGTTAAACTTTAAAATATTTCATTGACCATACCACTAGATAAAAGAACTACTTCATAAACACCGCTACTTAATATTTTTGCGATTTTAAAGAGCAACTAGTTCTCGTGGATATTACTAGTTTGGTATGATAGTTAACTATTGTATTACAGTAATAGATTTTAGTTGTTAATGCAGAAATTATACTGAGTTGTCACTGGAATGTGGTATAAATAAATAAAGGTTTTATCTTCTCCCACTGTTGTTTTTACTTGTCACTTTTGCGACCCGCACAAGATTTATTCTTCCCTCTTTGTAAACCCACATCAAATTAAAGGGGTACAATTCACCTCAATTTTTAAAGGGGCACATTAGTGTATTGTACAGTATATGCTCATTAAGTCAAAAATTAATTTTCTTTAAAAAAAATATATATATATATACACACCATAATATGAAAAATGAAAAAAACAAAAGGTAAATGAAGAACATAACAAATTTTAAGATACAGGAAATAACAGACACAAAGAAATAAAAAATTCACTGATATTTGCTATATATCGTCTTGTACATATTATATGTTAAGTCAAAAAAAAAAATTATATATCTACTGTATAGAGTACATATAAAATGTTAAGTACACACATGGAATTATTATATTAAATTAGATTCTGATCTGCAGATATTAACAGATGTAATTTTACTCTTCTTGGTCCAGAATTGGTCATTTTTTAGGTCAACATTAATGTTCATGTGTCTGCTGTCTAGAAAAGGGTTTAGCATTAGTGTGGATGATGTGTTGATGTTAAAAGCAATTATTATACAAGCTTAAAACCAGCTTACCTGACTGAGGCCAGTGGTGAAGTCGTGAGGTGGGGGTGTTTCCAGTTTCTGTACTGCATGTTCTGAGTGGTAGTAATCCTGCAGATTCAGAAACAATCAAAAAATAGGAAGACATTACATTAGTGGAGTAAAAAGAATAACTATGTTTGAATTTATGGTGTTGAAAAGTAATTTGAGTAAAAAGTCATATAGAATATTTTTTAAGTTTGAATGTTTTTTTTTAAATATTACATTTAATGTTATATTTAAATCTCCAAATACAGTACATATCCATGCTAAAATCCAGTAATGAATTAAACTTTTTCAATAAAATGTAGGCCTTATTTATAATGTTAACATCTTTTGCATTTAGCCATTGATATGGAACTTTACAAATGTCTGTTAATAATCAAATTGTGGGTCTGTTGACTGATTGAATATAAACTGATTGATTATAGAATGGTAGTAAAAATGACAAAGGAGGAAACACAGGGAATGCCGATGCTAAGAATGTTGATGAAATAAATGCTGATCTACTGGAAATCATTTGTTATGCACAGAATAACGATGCTGGGAATCGTAATGTTGGGAACAGTATGTCAATGCTAGTGTTTATATTACTTTTCTATATGGTAACGCTTTTTGTTCATTTCATATGTCGGAAAATTAAGTGGGAAATACTAGAAATGAGTCATAATGGCCCATAAGTGTGAGAAATTTTATATCAAGCAATCTGGATATTAAGATCTGTCTCATTGTATGCAGTACAGTACATCACACACTGCACAGTAAATAACACCGTACAGTATTTCCGATTGGAATTTTCAATAAAGATTGCAAACCACGTATTAAACATGCACGGTCATACCTAACTAATGAAATATCACTTTACAATTCACAGTCACTGCATTTTTTTTTTTAAAGAAACCAGTCATTTTTAAATGGAAAAAAACATGCATGATTTTCTTTAATCTATAATATTCCAGATTCACATTATGAGCCACTGTTTACACAAGCATAATTCAAAATATATATATAAAGCTCCCAGATTATCAAATTTTCTTTGACAAGAAACTGTTGTATATATATGCCCATATATATTCATGTTTAGCCTATAACTATGGTCATGTTCTGAGTCATGAAGACCATATTTATGCATTTTACATGTTTTTGTAAAATAAAATGTCACTTACTTGACGTGTGTTGTAATGCCTTCCAGTCCCACGCCACTTCACTGTATGGTGGTGGAGCAGCAGATTCTGTCACAGAAATAAACAATTAAAATAATTAATTAATATCAAATCTCTCAAAAAATACTGACATAAGAATATACCAGGGCTGTAATCAGGATTGCCATTGAGGAGGTGCAGAGTGTGAAAATACATGGGGTTGAGTAGAAACTCTTGCGGGGATAGCGGTCAGAGATGCTTCAGTATTTTAGGGTATCAAGCACCCAAATACCTATTTTAACACTAGATTAATGGTTGAAATGTAAAAATCTAGATTTAAAAATTATTGATTAAAGAAAAAAAAAATTACATTCAGTTCTTAACTGTCTTAAAAATATGGACTTTTTCTAATTTTCCTTTTTTTTTTTTTTTTGAGGGAGGGGAAAAGTGGTGGGGGGTATGTTCCCATCAAAAAGAATAACCACACAAAAATACTTAACTAGTAATAATTTACTGAATGCTCCAAAACCTACAATATGCTACATTTCCCTCTTTCTGCATACAATACAATTTTTGGCATTATTTCAATTGTTAACAAACACTTGTCAGCTAGTATTGTATAAATAAACCATCTTCTGCCTTTCACTCAGTTTAATAACATGTAAATATGTTAAGCTCCTTTAATTTTTATTTGGTACAATCTTTTGTTATTGTCCTACATAAAAGTCAACCAAAGGCAGATATGTGTTTGGTTAGGCGTAGTGTACACATCAATTCAAGTAATCATTTTCATTGATCGATTAAGAATGTCTGGTTGTTTGACTGTGCTTAATGGAGCAGGGTCTTAACACAACACTGCCTAAGCTCGGGTTTTTGTTCAATTTGCATCGCTGGTTACACCAGAAAGGGTTGAATATCCTAAAAGGTTTCATTACATTAAATTCACAACAATTATCGTAACTAAATTAAGAGTATAAATAACAAGACTCAACACAATGTCACCAATCCACAATGAGCACTTGTATAAATATATTTACAGTACAATGTCTTTCTACTGTATATAATTAAATTTTGTTTATGACTAATGCTTTTAAATTTCAATTTGTAAATATATAATTTTCAAATTTATCATCAAACAATGACCAAAAAGATCCATTTGAATAATATAGGAGTACTGTATAACCTAAACTACACTTACAAACTTAAAATGACCAAAGATACCAAAATGATTTCACAGATTAATGCATCTTTTAATATTATTAGTTTAAATGTCTAGTAAAATATTTTGAAAATAAAGAAATAATTTTTATACAAAAAACTGCCTTTTTACCCCAAAAATAGGTTGTGAAGAACATAAAATTATGATTTTTTTATATTGAGATACCAAGTCGAGTCCTATACTGTGTGATTCAATCATCAATCACTATCACTGGGTTTGCACTGTGTTTTGGGGGGTTTGCGGGGTTTAGCAATGTTTTTATACAAAAATGTATACTTATTTTTACCCCCAAAATATTTTGAAAATTAAGATTTTACCCCAAAAGTAGGTTGTGATGAACATTAAATTATGATTTATTTTATTGAGATACCAAATTGAGTCCTATACTATGTGATTCAATCATTATCACAGGGTTTGGATGGGGTTTGCGGTGTTTTTTTTGGATGTTTGCGGGGTTTAGCAATACCCTACTTTATTGACAGATACTGTAGCTGTCAACTAATTAAAGTCACAGCTACTTACAGTTAATATGATTGAAATGCTACCTGTCGTAGCATTTTCAAATAATGTAGTATTTATTACTATTCTTATTTTGTTTTGTAAATGTTTTGATCAAATTAAAAAAATAAAAAGAGATATAAAAACAGAGAGATACTTAACCAGTTAAATATTATACTGTACCTAGACTAAGTATTACAGGTACTGTATGTATGGATTAGCAAAGCTCTGAAACGGGGCTGTAGCAAAATGAACTACTACTAGCCTACTACTGTACTAGAGGGAATTTCATTAAAACATTCCAATGGTTGCACTTTATGGGCAGTATTACTCTATGTTCAGTGACTTCATTTCTTTTTTACCAATAACTGTTGACTGATCATCAATTACTCAGCCTAGCTAAGAGGTCATCCCAGATTTTAAACAGCTAGTTCCAGTGTGTACACATTCAAGGTTGAAAGGAGTGTCAGAAATAGAGGCAGGCGCCACAGATGCAGACTCAAGGATGCATATCTAATACACTGGAATCACATGCAAGAATACAGACTACAGCAAGGCTAAGAACAGACTGCAGCCAGCCTAAAAGAACACTGGCTACAGGGATGCTAATAATAGTTATACAGAACTGACTAAGCAAGGCTAATTATATTTATTATATTAGCAATAAAATAAGGCTAAGAATCCAGGCTACAGAGAAGCTAAGAATACTACAGAACTGAGGCTACTTTAAGATTGTAGGGTAAAAAATATTTGAGGTTGAAGTAAGATACAGATATTCCAAACCCTGGAACTCAAAATTTCAGATCAGAATTGGGCTGTTGAAGGGCATTTCCACCATCAAAATTCTAATATTTTTTAAATTTATGCTAACAGGCGCCACAGATGCAGACTCAAGGATGCATATCTAATACACTGGAATCACATGCAAGAATACAGACTACAGCAAGGCTAAGAACAGACTGCAGCCAGCCTAAAAGAACACTGGCTACAGGGATGCTAATAATAGTTATACAGAACTGACTAAGCAAGGCTAATTATATTTATTATATTAGCAATAAAATAAGGCTAAGAATCCAGGCTACAGAGAAGCTAAGAATACTACAGAACTGAGGCTACTTTAAGATTGTAGGGTAAAAAATATTTGAGGTTGAAGCAAGATACAGATACTGTATTCCAAACTCTGGAACTCAAAATTTCAGATCAGAATTGGGCAGTTGAAGGGCACTTCCACCACCAAAATTCTGAGATTTTTTTTATTTATGCTAAGCTTTTAGTAATAGCACTTATAAGCATAATTTAGAGTCTCAGTTTTGCAACAGTTAGCTTTGTAGGCCTACTATTCAAATATTATGGGTTTTTATTATTTTACAAAGTACAATGGCCTCATTTATAAAGTCAGCACACAAAGAAAATTCAGTACAGAAAGAGAAGCATACTTATAGCGGTTTGTTTATTTTTTGGTGAAGGGGGAGGGGGGTTTGGGGAAGGAGGAATTTTAAATCCTGAAAATCAGGAAAATGCACGAGAATTTGACTTCCAACTGGACTGGAGGAATTGAAACAACTGCTTGGTTTTTCACAAGGTAAAGGCTAGGAACAATATAACTCAGTGCCTAAGCATGGCCTAAGTAAGAGAGAGTGAAAAATTGCTCAAATGCATAATACGGCTATTTTCATTTGGTCCCATCTAAACTGTTTGTAGCCCCACCATCTTTGATGTGTGCCCGTTTTAAAAGTATACGGTTGGCGTTTTCTGCTCGAACGGGCCCTAAGTCTGCATTTATCATCTTCAATGTGTTGAGTTATTGGTACAATACTACTAGCATTGCATGGTGATGGTTGGTAATTAGCATTTGTGTTGCATTGAATCTCACAGCAGGAAAAGCAAGCTCATGGCATTGCTCATACCATGGAGGTATTATACCTCCATGCTCATACTGTACTTCACCACAATCGCTCATCATAGTTGCTCATAGTTCAAGGCAATTGCTCATAATGTACCACATAAAATATCATTCAGTGTAAATATATTTGAGCTTATTTAGCATCCATAATGCACAGATCGCTTAACTCATGGCTGTACTCCAAGCTTTGAAATGTATTTTTAAATGAGACGAGCAGACATCATCGATGCAGTAATATGAATATTTAATGTATGCGGATGTTATGGTTTTGCAAACATGACCTTTCCAGGTCTTGCCCTACACATAGCTCTAGAACTCAACGACGACTACATTAAATTGTTTAATCAATGCTTGTAAAATATCCGTTTTACGATATATTGGAATAATTAAAATCAATAAAAAAAACATTGAAATAGTTGGAATTTTGAGCCTAGGCTGTTTTTTTTTTAAAGATTGTTTATCTTCAGTATGTGTAATCCGTGGCCATTTAAAATGTTAAATTAATTTGCTTCAAAAATTAAAACATTAAATGTGCTACTTTTAAGTTTGCACACAAGTAGCTTCATTGGCAAACAATCCATTGAACCAAACACATTCATCATATTGATATAATGTTCAAATAGTTTTCTACTGAAACCTTTTGGCGGAAACAGGTTACTGATAGATCCTTATAAATACAGAATTTCTAATTCAAACATATCATTTATTCAAAAACGGACATATTGTTTACTTTTTAATTCATAAATGAGTACGTAATATCACTCATAGAAGAGTAATATATATACTGAAAAAACATATAATAATTTGACAATATAAATATGCATTCAGATAAGATGGCATAAATTTATTATAATTATGTTCATTCTTTTTAAGAGTAAATTAATACAAATGAATTAGAGAAGATAATAATTTAATAATATTATCCATTATACAGATAGGATTATGCATAAATTCATTCTACAGTAATTACATCATTCTTTTCAAGAGAAATTATAAAATGAATTAAAGAATAGATATTTAATTTAATAATCTAAACATTATGATAGATAAAAATATGCATCAATTTATTCTAATTACATCATTCATAAGAGTGATTAATAAAGAACAGATAATATAATAATATAAATATCATAGTGTAGTTAGGAATATACATCAATTTATTCTAATTACATCATTTTATATAAAAGCATTTTATATAAAAACATAAAGAACAGATAATACTTTAATAATATAAATATTAAAGTCAAGAATATACACCAATTTATTATAATTACATTTAGGTGTCACCGAATTTCTAGATGGTTAAATAATTTCATAAGTTTTCGTTATTCATCCTTGATTTAAGCAAACATGCTAAGCTAGAGGGGAAGGTGTGAAGAAGGTTGAATGTAACTCTTTTGACAGTTTAATTCCCTGGTGCCCAAGTGACTGGCCAGCATTCCAAGCACTGAGAAATTCTACACCCTACTA